GGCCCATGATACTAGAGCATTTCCGAGAATATGACATGTACCACTTGTACTTTTTCTATCGGTTTTGCATCCTGCATAGTCAGCGTCAGAATAACCAACCAAAGAACAAATACTACCTTTAGGATACCATAATCCAACGTTGGTCGTTCCTTTGAGATACTTGATAATTCTCTTCACAGCAGTGAGATGCGATTCCTTCGGATTTGCTTGGAAGCGCGCACACAAACAAACACTAAACATAATGTCAGGACGGCTTGCCGTCAAATATAGTAATGAACCAATCATACCTCGATATTTAGTAATATCAACTGGAGTACCAGATTCATCTTGATCAACATACGTTCCGGATCCCATAGGAGTAGACATCATCTTGCAACTATCCATATCGAATTTCTTTATTAATTCCTTACAGTACTTGGATTGGTTGAGGAAGATTCCATCCTTGGTTTGCTTGATTTGTAGTCCAAGAAAATAATTTAACTTTCCCATCATGGACATCTCGAATTCTTCTCGCATCATGAGTGAGAATTCTTCGCACAGTTCTTTGTTTGTTGATCCAAATATGATGTCGTCGACGTAGACTTGTACTAACAAGGTGTTACCCTTGATCTTCTTTATAAACAGCGTCTTGTGAACCTTTCCTTTTGTAAATCCTTTCTCACATAAGAAGTTGCTAAGGCGATCATACCATGCTCGTGGTGCTTGTTTTAAACCGTAGAGAGCCTTCTTCAGTTTGAAAACATGTGAGGGATTTTTGAAGTCTTCAAAACCCGGAGGTTGTTTGACGTAGACTTCCTCATTAATGTATCCATTCAGGAAAGCGCTTTTGACATCCATCTGGAATAACTGAAAATTCATAGAACAAGCGTAAGCAAGTAGTAATCTAATTGCTTCTAACCTTGCTACCGGAGCGAATGTTTCATCAAAATCAATTCCTTCCTCCTGGTTGTAGCCTTGTGCGACCAATCTTGCCTTGTTACGAACTATAATCCCGTTCTCGTCAAGTTTGTTCTTGAATACCCATCTGGTTCCTATAATATGCTTATTGTCCAGTCTTGGTACAAGGGTCCAAACTTGATTTCTTTCGAACTGATTAAGTTCTTCTTGCATTGCTATAATCCATTGATCGTCGCCTAAAGCTTCATCGATCTTTGATGGTTCAATTTGAGATACAAACGCCATGTTGAGACAAGCATCCTTTAAATTAAGTCGAGTTGCAACGCCTTGACTAATATCACCAATAACTTTATCAATTGGGTGATCTCTGTGTGTTCTCCATTCTTTCGGAAGATCTTGATTTTCTTGAGTAACATCTTCTTGTAATATTGTTTGATCTTTTGAAACAATTTCTTCATTTTGTGAAGTATCTACAAAATCATCATCATCATCCAAAACAATATTATCCTCTTTCGAGGGGTTAGTCTCATTAAACGAAACATGAATGGACTCTTCAATGGTAAGAGTTCTTTTATTAAAAATTCTAAAAGCTTTACTATAAGAAGAGTAACCCAGGAATATACCTTCGTCGGACTTCTCATCAAACTTACCGAGATTGTCCTTATTGTTGTTGAGAACGAAGCATTTGCGGCCAAATATGTGGAAGAATGATATATTCGGTTTCCTTCCCTTGAACAACTCATACGGAGTCTTTTTGAGTAGCGGTCGAATATTCATGCGGTTGCTTACAAAGCATGTCGTGCTTACTGCTTCTGCCCAGAAATATTTTGGAAGATTTGTGTCGCTGAGCATTGTTCTAGCAAGTTCAACTAGTGAGCGATTCTTCCGTTCTACGACGCCGTTTTGTTGAGGAGTTCTTGGTGCCGAAAAATTATGAGAAATTCCATTTTCTTCGCAAAATTCTTCAAAGTCTGAATTTTGAAATTCTCCACCGTGGTCGCTTCTTATGGAGGCTATAGTGAGTGACTTCTCGTTTTGAATTTGTTTTGCATACTTTTTGAATGCTTTAAATGCATCATTTTTCTGCACTAAAAACATTGTCCAGGTATATCGAGAAAAATCATCAACAATAACTAAAGCATAAATACTACCTCCAAAGCTCTTCGTTCTTGATGGACCAAAAAGATCCATGTGCAATAATTGAAGTGGTCTTGATGTAGAAACCACTTGCTTGGATTTGAAAGTTGTCTTGGTCTGTTTTCCCTTTTGACATGCATCGCATAATTTATCCTTGATGAATTTTATCTTCGGAAGCCCAACAACCAGATCATGCTTGATTAATTTGTTTAAATGCTCCATGTGAATGTGAGCAAATCTTTTACGCCAAAGCCATGCCTCGTTGTTGTTCGCCATAAGACACTTTACCTTCAAGGAAGAGTCATCAAAAGAGATCATAAAAATATTATTATATCTTTTACCTTTTAGCAGAATCTCATGAGTGACTTCGTGTTCGATCAAGCATTCCTCCTTTGTGAAGTTGATTTTGAACCCTTTGTCACACAATTGACTGATGCTAAGCAGGTTATGCTTAAGGCCTTCAACAAAAAGAACGTCTTCGATGACGGTACATGGAGGTGCACCAATGGTTCCAACTCCAAGAGTTTTTCCTTTATTATCATCACCGTAAGTGACGTATCCTTTGGCCTTTAATGATAGACTTGAAAATTTGTTTATATCTCCCGTCATATGCTTCGAGCAACCACTATCAAGATACCATTCATTTGTGGTTGTCTTCAAGCATACCTACAAAACAAAATTAGGTAGTGTTAGGTACCCAAGTTGCTTTGGGTCCTTGATAGTTAGTACCTTTTTCCACCCACACATAATGCCCCTTTGCAACACCAATATTACGTACATAGCAAGCATTAGGTGTGTGCCCTTTAATACCACAATAAAAACATGTAGGTTGAAAATGACTTCTATATCTAGGAATATAATTCTTTTTCTTATTAATTCTTTTCTTGTTATGATTTTGATGCTGAGTCTTAGAAGTGCTTGTCTCTTTCTTCACAATTTGTTCACTTGCTCTTACAAAAATGGTCTTATTGGTGCTTGGTTTTGAAAATTTAGAATATCCCAATCCACTTTTATCATTAGGATACCTTTGATGTTTAAGAATCTCTTCCAAGCCAATTTGACCCTTTTCATATCTTTCTAAAACTCTTTTAAGTTGAACAATTTGAAAAGACAAAGACTCACAATTCTTACATACAAGACTTTGTTCTTCATCCATCACTTTTTGTTTTTCATCTTCAATATTTTTCAAGAAATCAGAATTTTGTTTTTCTAAAAGTAAAATTCTTTTCTTTTGTGATGAGATGTCTTTGTACAAAGTTTTGCACTCTTTTAGAAGTTCATCTATAACTTCTTGTGCATCATTATCATAGACAGAAAAATTACTACTAACCTCATTTTCGTCATCGGAATGGTGAGAGGCCATTAAGGCAATATTTGCACATTCATCGCTATCTGATTCCGATGATGAACTCACTTCGTTGTCGTCCCATGCGACATAAGCCTTCTTTGTTTTGAAATCCTTCTTGCCCTTGAATTTTCCTTTATTTGCGAGTTTTGGGCAGTCTGGCTTTATGTGACCTTGTCTTCCACATTCATAGCATGTAATTTCTTGGTTTGATGTGGATGCTTCCTTTTTCCTGAAATGTTTATTCTTTTTAGGAAAAGAAGAAGTTTTATTATTATTGAAAAACTTACCAAGCTTCTTTACTAGAAGCATGAAATTTTCGTCTTCGGAAGATTCGTCAATTTTGTCATCCTTTGTGTCAGTCTTCAAGGCAATTCCTTTGGACTTCTTGTCTTGACTTTCATGTTTCTCAAGCCTTCCAAGTTCCAGTTCATGCTCTTGAAGTTTCCCGAATAATGAAGCGGATGTCATCGTTGAAAGACTTTTCTTTTCCGAAATGGCAGTCACTTTTGGTTGCCATTCTCTTGTCAAGGATCTTAGGACTTTTAAGTTGAGATCATCGTTGGTGAAGGTCTTCCCAAGAGCAATCAGGTGATTTGTCAGATGAACGAACCTCTTTTGCAAGGCAACAATAGATTCACCGGGCTGCATACGGAACATCTCATATTCTTGACTTAACGTGTTAAGTCTTGATCTTTTTACTTCTGCTGTTCCTTCATGCGTTTCTACCAAGGTATCCCAAATCTGTTTTGCCGATTGACACTGTGATATGCGAAAGAATTCATCCATACTGAGAGCGCTTTGAAGTATGTTGATTGCTTTCTTCTCATTCAAGATTCTCTTCTTGTCATCTTCATCATATGAGGATTTGATCTTTGGGGTTCCAACACCATTTACCACACTTGTAGGAACATGTGGACCAGTTTCAACGGTTTCCCATATACCATCTCCTTGAGCCTCAAGATGTGCCTTCATACGGATTTTCCAAAAATCGAAGTATTCTCCAGAAAAGAGTGGTGGTTTGTTACTACTTCCACCATCTTTGAAAACCGGGTTGGTACTTGCGGAAGCCATACTGAATCGTTAGGAACGGGTTACCTTAACCTGCTCTGATGCCAATTGTAAGAACAGAGTATGCCTAAGAGGGGGGGGGGGGGGGGGTGAATTAGGACTTTTGAAATCAAAACAAAGCAATTTTTCACTGCACGTTCAGTGTTAATCGGTTAACCCATATGGTTAATCGGTTAACACTGGTACGTTAGCCCAGAAAATTCAAAATTCAAAATGGTTAACCGGTTAACCCAGATGGTTAATCGGTTAACACTGCTAATTTTCAGAAAAATGCTTTTTAAAATTAATGTTATACCATTTTTAAAGTTTCAAAAACATGTGTATGTATTATGCACAAAAGATTGATGTTTTTGAACACTTGTATATCAAAATTAAAAAGGTGGATTTGATATACCAGTAATGCAGGCAAGTCTGGAAGAATCAGTTCCATATAGCTTGACTTGAAAGATAGCTTGACTTGATCTTGATGACTTTGAACGACTTGTCTTTTTGCAATCAAGAGATATTAACTTTGAGTAGCATTGACATCATCAAAACTTGAGACTGAAGCATGCTTCTACAGTTCACAGAAGGGGCTCAAAAGCCGCAGACTTCTCATCATTCATCAGTTGATACTCTTCCGCAGACACCATCAATTCCATCTGCCCAAAGAGAGGCCTCAGGCAATGCTTCAGCAGCAGCTGCTCAGACATGGATGTCTTCAGGGGCAGGAGGGTTTAAACTAGGACCTGAGAATTCTGGTTCATCCAAAAATCAGATTTTTGCAGATTCTCTTCACAACTCAACAAGAGAGTTCCATCAGCATATTTCAAGAATTCAGGGAGAGTTTCCTTCTGGTGGAATGTCTCTCCAGTCTAATAAGAACAATTTTCCATTTCATTCATATAGACCTCAACCTAGTCACGTAAGTGTTGTTTCACAGTTGCCCAACCGACCTAGGATTTTCCCTCAATCAACATTCGCGGACCAATCTAGATTTCAAATGCAGACCTCTTGGCAAGGTCTCAGTCCTCAAAGCCAACCAAGGCAGAAACAAGAAACTCTTCCGCCTGACTTGAATATTGATTGTCAATCTCCAGGGTCACCTGCAAAACAATCTTCTAGTGCTGTTGATTCACAGCAACCAGACCTAGCTTTGCAATTATGAGGAGTTGTTTGCATCATGATTTGGATGTTTTGACTGGAATTGGACTAGTGGGATTTGCATCTCCTGTTATCGGATGCTGAATGTTGATCCTAAAAGGCTTGATTAAATGTGAGAAAGCAAAAAGTTTGCCTGGGTCGGGATTTAGCACAAGATGGTCCTGGAACAAAACAATGTCACTCACAAAAGTCCTGATAACACACTCGAGGATATTAGATTAGCTTTGAATAATCTAGATCTGCATGTCTTTGATTCGAACGAAGTTTCTGGTCATATGGACGGATCTGACTCATCAAATAATTCTCTGGTGGTAGTTGCATCCGGTGATGTAAATATCACTGATCTCTCATCAATGAAAAGAACAAAACAACACGCCGAGGAAGATTTGGGTAAATCAATAGGAAAGATAATCGAGCTTATTGAAAGAATCAGCTTGCCTGCTATGGATTGTGATAACTCAGATTCCTTAGGCACAAGTGATGAGAATACCCCCTCAGGAATGCCATCAGACTACATGGGTCACATTAAGAAACTTCAGGAGTATCTTGAGCAGGTCTGAACTAGCATAAAACCAGGGTGTCCTCGAGAGGTTCTGAAAATGGCTTCGAGCGTCATGGGATATGTTACACAAATTTGTATATACACAAACGATCCACAAAAACATGAACACAACCAAACCACTGCTACAAGCCTACACACAACCAAACCACTGCTACAAGCCTACAACCAGCCAAAAACCCTGCAGAAAACAGACAAAACCGTACCGCCAGACAATACCTGCTACTACTCCTCCCACACCAGACAAACAACCTGCCATAAGCTGCTACTCATCATGCCAGACAAGACCTGCTGCAAGCTGTACCTGCACAAAACACACAAACATAACATCATCCTTCCCTATTCTTTTAATACTCACCTTAAAACCATTCAAAGAGATACCAGACCTACAATCAACAACACCAACCTTCAAAACTTCCATTTTCAACTCAAACAGGCCTCAGTCAACAAGTTATCAACCTGTCAATCTTCATCATTCCTCCTCAAAAAAAAAACCGATAAACCAAAATCCCTCTTCATCCCAAAACAGAAGCATTCCTCAAACTGATGTTAAACCCATGATACTACCACCTTCATACGTTCAAACCCATCGAACCTGCGTCAACAATCGTATCATATGCTTCCTTCAATGAACTCCAAAACCCAAAACATTGTTTCAAATAACCGACGAAAAGCGGTGGCCGCACTTCTTTCAGATCACATTCCATAAAGTACTTCCTATCCCAACTCATCTACCTCACTCAAAGCTTGACTCCATCACTCATCCATAACAACACTACAACAACCGAAAAACCCTTCACCGTATTTATTCCCCAACAACCTTTGTAATCCTTTTCCGATAGCCTCCGACGTAACACCTTCTTCCTTCAACTAAACCTTCGAAAACAACCATTCATCATCCCTTCAAACAAACCCTCATTTCAGAAACCTCAAATACCCAGAAACCAACCGCAACAGTTGAAACCTTCAACATCAAATCGTCCGCGAAATCTCGAAAACCCTTCAACAGACACAAAACCAATACCACCCCCATATCCTCCTTCGCCGTTCGAAATAACCAACCTCCACCAAATCACCGTCAAATTCTTCAAATCATCTCCGATTTTGACAATCGTAAACCACAACCCTCAAAACCCCAAATCATTCAAACATAAACAGAATTTGAGAACAAGAACGAGCGGAGAGAGAGAGGTTTGAGACACAGAGATGGTGAGATCGGAGTTTGGGCGGTGAGGTACGCGTGAACTGAAGCAGAGAGTGAGAAAGAAGCGATGAAGAACGCGTTCTGCGTTTGTGCTGTGTTGTTTTCCTTTTTTTTTTCTTTTATTTATTTATTTATTTATTTATTTATATTTATTCTTTTTATTTTTAATTCTTTTTTATTTTGTTTTATTATTATTAATCATTTTATTTAGAAGTTAAACTTTTCTAACTAAATTTTTATATTAAACTTTAAAACTTTATGTATATTATATTTTCTTTTAGAGTTTTATTCTACTTTTTTTTAAGAAGTTAAACATTATGTCTTCCATTTGGTTTTATTTTTAAAGTTAAATTCTATTTCTCTTTTGTTATTGGGCATTTTTTTGCCTTTTGGGTCGATGACGAGACCTCCGTAATTCATTACCAGTCAAATTATTGATGAGTAATGTTGGATCTGAGACCACCTCTTTTCTCTCCTCGCTTCTTATCCCAACTCGATTCAAAAACATTGACAAACCATCTTCAAAATCGAATTTCTTTGTATTGAATTAAAACGAGGGGATTAAGTGTAGACTTTCTTCCTCTCCGAGTGCCGAGATGCCCACTGTAGTGAGGGTGGTTTCGACACACGTCTTTCAATACGAAGACTTTTCCACCCCTTTTCCTCCTAAAACCTCGGCTCTGCACCGAGTGCATTTTCGAAAACCTCGGTCTCGTACCGAGTCCATTTTCAAACCATAATAAATTGATTTCTCTTTATATCGAATTAAAGAGAGAAGATTGGGTGTAGACCTCTTCTTCTTCGAGTGTTGGGATGCCCACTGTAGTGAGGGTGGTCTCGATACTCGTCTTTCGATACGAGGACGCGACTTTACCCACCATCTCGCTTTCACAACTTCATCCCGCAACCCTTGTCACCTAAAACCTCGGTCCCGTACCGAGTGCATTTTCAAATCTTTTCATAACAAAAACTTGAATGGTCGTGGAGTGGTTAGGCGTAGGCCTTCTCCTATCCCGAGTGCTGACATTTACCGTAGGGTTCTCTGTCGCAAAGCACTTACCATTCAAAACCAAAAACATCTTTAATAAGAGAACGAAGCTCTCTTTGCATTGAATTAAAGAGAGAGGATTGGGTGTAGACCTCTTCTTCTCTGAGCGTAGGGATGCCCACTGTAGTGAGGGTGGTTTCGACGCTCGTCTTTCAATACGAAGACGCCTCGTTCGCCACACCTTTTTATAACAAAAACTTTGAGATAACGAATTGGGTACTACCCGTAGGGGTTACTATCCGAGGACCTGTCTCGCCCCCTAAAAACAATCCAATCAATCAAACGTGACTTCTTGCCCCGCGTGGCGAAAACTAATCAATCTTTCAAAAGGATATGTTACGTCCGTTCTACCGCAAACAGGTAATGCCTAAGTCTCCAACGAGCGAGCTGCAAAACACCTAACTGCTAGAATGCGCACGATAGCATCATCCGTAAAGACATCAACACACTGTCAGCACGAACTACGTTTGCTCTGATTTCTCATGCCAGATGAGAATACGTAGGCACAAGATGGCGATGTCTTGGCGAGCTCCCTTTTTCACCTTTCACCCGTAGTTGGCCGAACTACGGCTGCTCTGATTCTTTACTTCGTTCAAGTAAAGATACGTAGGCACAAGGGCCACAATCCTTGTCGAGCACAATCCCCCCAATTACCTGTAGTTTCCCGAACTACGTCGACTCTGATTTTCTCATATCTGTTGAGAATACGTAGGCCTAGGACCGCGAAGTCCTACCGAGTCCGTTCTCTCCCTTCTTCCCCCCGTTACTTCTCTTTCACCGTTTCTAAACCCTTCTTTCTATCCCTTGGAACACTCTCTTTATAGCATAATCTTTAAGCAAATAAAATCACACATCGACAAACAAAAGGTTCCCATCGAGTACGATGGATGCGAGGGGTGCTAATACCTTCCCCTCGCATAACCGGCTTCCGAACCCGTTCTTGGTCGCGAGACCATCTTATCCATTTCTTTCTTAAGGTTTTCTCGATATTTTCCTTTCCCCTCATGGGATAAATAAAGTTCGGTGGCGACTCTTCTGTCCTTTCTTTTCGCCTCCCCGTCGTTGCGCGATGCATTTTTTCGAGTAGCGACAGCTGGCGACTCTGCTGGGGATACTTAGCCAAACCTAATTTGTTTGTCGTGTTTGTGTTTTGTTTTTTGCTTTAATTTATTTTGTGCTTTATTCTCTACCTGTTGGGTTTATTGGGATGGGTTGTAGGGATAAAGCTTTCTACCCGAGCTTTTGAGTATACACTAAGATTAGGAGGTGGTTTCTTTCTGATTTGCGAGACGTAGGACTCGTTGAATTGGTTTGAATTCCACTGCTCAGATGAGACCCCGTTGGAACAATGATGTCTTACGTGTAGTCGTAACGACGTCTTTATTTCCAATTGGGAGTCCTTGACTCTGAGGACCTCTTGTAGAACCTTATTCCGAAGGTTCCTAAAACATAACTCTGTGTTCATCCTTTGAAGGGATTACCGTCTTACGAGTAGTCGTTCTGATGGAAAACTTTTGAGGGTTAGTGCATGGGACTTTGTTTAAAAGCCTTTGGAATACCCTCTTATAAACCAATAGATTTCCCACCCGAGGTGAGAGATATCTCGTTGTGTTGTGTTGCAGGATTTGTGACTTTGATCCTTTGTGTGTTGCATCAGCATTTTGCATTGCATTTCATTTGCATCTCATTTTTGCATATCCATCCTCAGCCGGAACAGAGAGCTCACCAGTCTTTTGTCCAACCCGCAGTTGATTTCCCGACATTCACATTGGATTTGAGTTAGCTTCTAGAAGGATCATGGACTCAGAGAAGCAGAATTTGGTTATTACAAGGGCAGAGTTTGAGATGATGAAGAATCAGTTGGATCAGCTCATGGAGGCCATGACAGCCATGACAAGAGGAGAGACCAATGTTCAGAGGACTCCAGTGAACAATGTTGCTCGAGCTCAGCCTGTGCAGATTCCTGTCGAAGATCAAGAGCATACTATTGTTAGAGATAGAGATTCATCTTCTCTCCATGACTCGGACTATCAGAACTTCACTTTCTCTGTGCCAGATTCCCAAAGGGTTGTTCCGAAGATCACTCCTAAGGACCCACAGACTGTTGAGTTTATGAGAAGATATCGTCTGTTGGATGAAAAGCTTGATGCTCTGATGAGTCAAAACACTCTTAATTTGAATGCTTCGATCATG